TACCTCATTCAGGAGCTCAGTCTCTCCACTTCCCAATATTCTTTTCTCCCTCCCTCCCTCCCTCCCTCCTTCCCTCACTCTCTGGAGCATAGGCAGATAACCTAAACTGTGCACTAGTAACGAGAGGAATGTGTCTGTTAGTGGCACTTAACCATAACTTTGTAAAGATGCAAACAACTGGGGTTAAAAAGAACCTTTGGATATTTTCAGGTTAAAAAGTAACTATTTCATAAGTATTCCTGAAAAGCAAACAGGTGTTTGGACCATTCTATGGTCCTCCCATTAAGAAGCTCCCAGGAAGTTAGCATCCAAAATATATGAAGAATTTATACAACTCAACACCAAAAAGCCCCCAAACAATACAATAAAAAAATAGAGGACCCGAATAGACATTTTCCAAAGAAGACGTACAGATGGCTAACACACAACATGAAAATGTGATCAACATCACCGATCATCAGGGAAATGCAAATCAAAACCACACTGAGATACCACCTTACTCTTCTCAAAATGGCTAAAATAAAAAGACAAGAGATAACAAGCACTGCAGAGGATGTGGAGAAAAAGGGACCCTTATGCACTGTTGGTGGGAATGTAAACTGGTGCAGTCAATATGGAAAACTGTATGGAAGCTCCTCAAAAAATTAAAAATAGAAATACCACATGATCCAATAATTCTACTACATTTTTACCCAAAGGAAACAAAAACACTAATTTGAAAATATACATGCACTCTATGTTTATTGTAGCATTACTTACAATAGCCAAGATAAGGAAATGACCTAAGAACCCATCAACAGATGAATGGACAAGGAAGATGTGGTGTAAACACACACACACACACACACACACACACACACACACACACACACTGAAATATTACACAGCCGTAAAAAGGATGAGAACTTGCCAGGTGCAACAACATGGATGGACCTAGAGGGTATTATGCTAAATGAAATAAGTCAGACTGAGAAAGCCAAATGCCATATGGTTTTACTCATATGTGGAGTCTTAAAAAACCCAAATGACTAAACAAACAAAGAGCAAAATCAACCTATAAATATAGAGAACAAACTGATGGCTGCCAGACAGAGGGGCATGGGGAAGATGGGCAAAATGGGTGAAAGGAAGTGGGAGATACAGGCCTCCAGTTGTGGAATGATTACGTCACAGGAATGAAAGGCACAGCATAGGAAATACAGTTGATGACCTTGTAATCATGTTGTATGGTGACAGATGGCAGCTATGCTTGTGGGGAGCACAGTGTAATACACAAACTCATCAAGTCACCATGTTGTGCACCTGAAACTAATGTGTCAACTACACACAAATAAAAAAACTAAAAATTAAAAAAAGAAGCCTCCAGGAAACTCCTTCATTCAGATATTCAATCATTGTGCTATTAAGGCTATAATTGTTAAGATTCTGGTAGTGATGAGGGAAAAAAAACCATACCTAATGGTTTTCCCTACCTTGAGACTTTCACAAACAAAAGACTGAATTATGACTTAAGTGGCATTAGACATTAGTCTGCAAACTGTAATTCTATTTTTAGTCTGTGAGCCCATCCATCCATCCATCCAACAAATATTTACTTAAAGTGTACTGTGTGCCAGGGTATGCAGTAAAAGACATGGTCTTTTACGGAGTTCACATTTCCTGCATTTTAAAGTTGCCTTAATTGCCATTTTCTCTCTTATTTATTAGAGATTTTAGAGGTGTTATGCTTTTTTCAATTTATCAACATGTGTATGGCATAAAGAGAAAGCACACAATATGAGAAAAGCCTTAGCCTCCAGATACTGTAGAGAATTAATACACAGCTTGATTTTCTTGGTTGTTCCCTAAACTGTGAATAATTTAAAACATTAATTTTTTTTTGGTGGGGAGCTTACTATATGCAGAATTCTTTTCTTTTTAATGTAGAATATACTAATGATTCAGCATTAGTACTAATATCAGTAATTATGCTATACTATAATACAGTGGCTGTGCTGGGCTCTGTATTGGGATAGAGAATCAATACTGAGTAGACCTTGACCACCATGATTTTAGGGGTTCTTTTTCCTTTTTTTTTTTTTTTTTGCAGTTTATCTATTTTCTTTTACTTTATGCTAGTAATATCAAATTACTTGCTCAAGTTCTTGAGTCTTATTTACTGCTTCTAAGTTGCTATGGTCTTGGAAATGACCTAACCATCTAACAAGATTGTTAAATAATCTAACAAGAGGTAAAGTGGTTGTTGGGACAGATAGAAAGGTGCTTCTATGAAAAGATAAGAGCTGTATCTTTGTGATATCTCTTTTGGTTGCTCAGAGGTTGGTTTTTATTTTCTTCTGGTTTCTTAATAACATTATAAATAGGTAACATTTGCTGAATAGCTGTGTTTTTGATAATTAAATTTATGCCTCTACAGAATGTAGTATTCCATGTGGTTTAACTTGAGGGTTTCTTAGATATTTTGTTTTTGTTTTTGTTTTTTTTTAATGTTTATTTATTTCTGAGGCAGAGAGAGACAGAGCATGAGTGGGGGAGGGTCAGAGAGAGAGAGAGAGACACAGAATCAGAAGCAGGCTCCAGGCTCTGAGCTGGCAGCACAGAGCCCGACGCGGGGTTGACCTCACAAACCGTGAGATCATGACCTGAGCCGAAGTCGGTCGCTCAACCGACTGAGCCACCCAGGTGCCCCTAGAACTATATTTTGTAACTGGTAGCTGTTTCAGCTACTTAAAAATTACCAAACTGCTTACTATGGCTTACTAGAGTGATATCACAAAACAAGAGTAAGAGGTTGTTACTTTGAATATTCTTTTCCCTTATACATTGATTTGGCAAAAGCAGGGCTCACAGTAAGTGCATGTTGTGATCTCTAGACTTCTATATCTAATCGGTTTGGTAAGAAAATGGGGAAAGTGAGACTTGTTGACTAAATTCCAGAGATCATAAATCAAAAAAGTGAAAGTAATACGCCTTACTGCTTACCAGTCCAATGTCTTCTCAGATATCCTGAGGGAGGTGGGATAATGCTGAGCAGGACTCAGAGGACAGAACTGGGGATCAGTGGTCAAGAATGGCTTTACTGGGATCTTATTAAAGAGACAGGAGGAAGAATATTTCTACGTCTGGAGACTTCCAGACAAACCAAATGGAAAGTGCTGAAATTTGTGATAAAAAAAAAAAGAAGGAAAGAAAGGAAGGAAGGAAGGAAGGAAGGAAGGAAGGAAGGAAGGAAGGAAGGAAGGAGGGAAGGAGGGAAGGAAGGAAAAGAAAGACTGGGAACTTCTATTAAGTACTCCAGAAAGTTTTCCCTTAGAGCTTATTGGTTTCATAGTCTGACAAGGTTATCATGTCATGGGAACTACGCATTTTCTGTTCTTTTAAAACTGATGCCATTTGATGACATAACAGGGTATTAATCATTAGGAGTTGATAAGAGAAGAGTGGTTCTCCACATCCTATTCAGACCTTTTAGAGCTCTGGATCATTTAACATCCAACTCTTGCTTGCTCTTAGTTATTCCTAGCAAAGGGCCATACTGAGGTCTTATTTTCTAGAGCTGGGCTGTCCAGTGTGATAGCCACTTGCCATCTAAATTGGTTAAATTGAATAAAATGAAAAACTCTGTTCTCAGTAGCACAGATCACACTTCAAGTGTTCAACTGCCATGGAAGTCTGGTGGCTATAGTATTAAACAGCAAGGACCCAGAACATTTCCAGAAACATTGAAGAAAGCTTTATTGGATAGTACTGTTCTACAGTCTTGCCTCACCTGTTCATAGGGTCTCATCAGGAACTCTTGGGGCTGGTAGTTTTATCTCCAGCATGACTACTTAACTTGGTAAATGCCTTGATGAGCCTGACCATAGGACTTCCTCCTGAATTGTATCCTACAACATTCAACCTTTACCTCTTAGCCCCTTTCTGCAACAGAGTTCCGAGAGAGCATTAGGACTTTATACCAACACTATTCTTGCGTCTTGAGATTCCCTTTCTTTGTCATATTTTGGAAACTGAGTTATTTCCATTTGTTGGCTATGTAATTAACCAACCAATGTTCTTGCTGACTCAGTTAACAATGGAACGTGTTTAGTATGCTGTAGAGAAGATACTTAAATTGGGAGTTGGACAAAATGAACTATGAGGCTTTAGGGCCCTATGGTTCTATTTTAACAAAACATAGAGGGTTGACTGATATTCCCTATAAGCTGTCAAAAAATGTGTTCCATTAGGTATTCTGATTATCTATATATTTATTTACATATGTTTTTGTTTTGGTTGAAGGTGGGGATTATCAGGTAGTTGGGGATAGAGGGGAAATTTAAGTTGAAAAAAAAACTTCAATGGAATTTGATATGTATGGCCCACAAGGTAGAATAATTAGCCTTAGATGAATTCTAGTGTCAGAATTCCCCACAATTTTGCTGAGGGGAAGCTACTTTCAGTTCCTCAAAGCCTGGTTATCATTCTGATTGGATATGAAGATGCTGCCCTAAGGAGAACTGGGGAAGGACATTGCCGAATTCTTGACTTCACTCTCCATGAGCAATTTTGGACAATTGTGGAAAAATAGGGGTGAGTGAGAAAAAAGTCTGACAGCAACTGACTTAGAAAACTTAACAGGTAGGGGCGCGTAGGTGGCTCAGTCAGTTGAGCCTCTGACTTCGGCTCAGGTCACGATCTCATGGTTCGTGAGTTCGAGCCCCAGCATCTGGCTCTCTGCAGTTGGCGCAAGACCTACTTTGGATCCTGTGTTCCCCTCTCGGTGCCCCTCCCCCACTCATGCTCTCTCTCAAAAAATAAACAAACACAAAAAAAAAAAAAAAAAAAAAAAAAAAAAAAAAAAAAAGAAAAGAAAATTTAACAGGTAATATCACCAGGCAGTAACAGGTAATATTACCAGGCAACATTTGCCAATCAGCTTTGATCCACTCATTGAGAGGCCCTGATGATGAGTATTTATGGCCCTAAGTATGCTCTGGGGAAACCCTCCACCAACCTACTTGTTATGAAAATCGTAGATCTCCTGGATGTTGCCAAAGATGATATGCTCTTTATTAAGGATCCCAGGGGGGATCTCCTCCACGCCACTGGTCATTTCCCACAGGTAGGTCTGTAAGATAGCAACATCTTCATCACTGGCAAGTACTACAAAATGCAGACAAAATAAACAGGTCTTCACACGGGAGGGCTAAGACTCAGACTGGGCTTGCATATGGAGTGTAAAAAGTGAGATGGTAAATAAACAGAACGGGAAGAAAGAAAACCCAAATGTTCCATTACCTTCAACTGTTGCTAGGGAAACTCACATTCTGGACTCTAGCAAAGTACAAACTCCACATTCCTCTTATTAAACGCGTGTGTGTTTGAGTGTGTCTGGGGGAAGGTGTAAATTGCAGACTCAAGTTCACTGAGTATGTCATGGTTTTTATTTTGAATTCAAGTCTTGTCTACGCTAGCTGGGGCTAGCTCCAATCTGAGAAGAGTTTCTTTTCAAAAGCATTTTAAAATCCCCTGCAATTACTACTGACTCTGGGAGAAAGATTTCCTTTGTTGGCTTTTATGTGTTAAGCTCCGGGAGAAGACAAGGAGCACTGAGCTCCTCTCAAGGACTTGATGCTGGCAAGGCTGTCATTTTTCCAATACAGCTGTGAACCGATTACTGCAAGACTTACCTCTAAGCACTCATGTAAGTCCCTTACATACGCCTTCTCTGTCTGCAGTAATTCAGCCATAATGAATCTAGAAGAAAACAAATGGGCTTTTAGTTGGTTCGGGATATAATACCTCCCCTCCTTCAAACTTCCCTTCCCCACCCCAGCATTTATGACATTCCTGAATGACCCCATTTTTTTGCTTTACCAACATGTCTCTTCCTTTCTTCAAAATTCCTTGCCTCTGAGTATTATCATTGGTTCTCTATCGCTCCAGCATGTTTGTGTTCAGCTAGTTCCATATTCTCTCCCTTTCCTGCCTCAGTCTCGCCACTCTGTGATGCTTTGCTGACACACGTGTGTCCTCCATTACACGTGTGTGCTCACATGTATGCACAAACATGCAGCAACACTCATACTCATTCTCACCAGCTAGACAGCTCCACTCTCAGCTTCCTGCATGGAAGTCTCACAGCTCCCAGAATGAGGATTTCTGTTTCCTGTTCAATAGAACTGTTGACTTTTACCAAAATGGTAGCAGTACTAGAAGTCAAACCAGGTTTAAAAGCCAGGCACAGATGCCCAAGATGCTGCCACTGAGACTGGGGG